TTATGCTGGCTGAAAATGATAATGTACACTGTTGAATATAAATGAATGGGCAGAGGTGCAAATGAGACTCGGGAACAGAGTCAACACCTGCTAGCTCTTTGGAATCCACACTCTTTCCAACGGTGATTCCTGAAGATACCCCACAACTGTGAAGATTGCAAGAATCTGAGTAGTGGACAATGACTAGGTGACTCATGGTTCTTCCTCATTTACCCATTACCAGGGTTAATATGCTCCTGTAAATGTTCTTTTCTACCATGCCTTCATGAAGTTGCTTTCATTTTATGTCCAGCCCATACCCAAGGAAGCTAAAAACATCTAGCCATTCCAGTTCCCTCACAGCCCACACAATTTTTGCTGTGTATACGATCTGGCATACTTCAGTGACCATTTGGTTGCTAATGCAATCAGGGATTGGGATCCAGTTGCTATTGGCCACTTAGTGGACTTTGGTCATGTCCACTCCCTTCTGCAGATGCCCACGTAATGCCTGACCAGCGCATACCATTGTTCTTGACAGGTCTTATGCAGGCCCCTTATAAACATGGATCCTTATGAACATGAGTTTAGGGCTCTTTTGAAAGAGTACTTGACTGTTTTTAGATATAAATTTGACATTCTTCTAAAAGACTGCTAGTCCTGTACTGCACAGAAGGACAGTTTTAAACCAAAAAAGAGATCTGGGTTCTGTCAGCCATGCATTGTTATGGATTATTTTGTCATTAGGCATATTATAAGGGGTTTTTTTGTTTTTTGTTTTTGCTTCTGCCAACAAAGGATTACATGCTATAAAGATGCAATGATTGTTATGGGCAACTGCAATATTTCTGACTCTGGATTGGATTTCTGGTGCTTTCTTTTGGCTGTGATTATCCTTTATTTGCCTGATTTCTTACATTGTTCCTTGCTTGTCTTAGAACTGATAATGAAGTTTTCAAACTGGTAGATAGCTTCCACCTTTTAGGATCAACGATCTACAGAAAAGAAACAAGCAGTCAAGAAATACATTGCAGGCTAGCCCCTGGTAGAGTAGCTGTGAAAGCCTTGGAAAAGATAATCGGGTGCCATGATGTGTCTGTACCTACAAACATCAGAATAGTGCAAACCATGGTATTCTCTGGGACACTCTATGGAAGCAAAAGTTGGACTTTGAAGAATCAGACAGGAAGACTATTGATGCTTTTGAACTTTGGTATTGGAGAAGATTCCTGAGAATACCATGGACAGCCAAGAAAACATCATCAACAAATCAACCCAGAGTTCTCATTTGAGGTACAAATGACGAGGCTCAAATTATCCTATTTTGGACACAGAGAGTGTCCAAAGCTTACCCAGCTCTCTGAAAAAGGCTCTAATGCTGGGAAAGGTGGAAGGAAAGAAAAGAGGATGACTAGCAGCAAGGTGGATAAACTCACTTACAATGATGATAGATGCACCATTGGAAGACCTGAAGGACCAGGTTAGGGACAGATCATCATGGAGACCATCTATCTATGTAGTCAGTAAGAGCCGACACCAACTTGAGGGCAGTTGTCAATCATTATTTGTCAATTCGCTGAATAGGATAATGCTCCAGGATGAAGTAGTAAACCTACATTCAGAAAACCTTCTGAGTGACTGCCAGCTAACCCTTTTACAGAAGCCTTTTGGAAGGGGAGTGATGGGCAATTAGTTTTAAATACTGCACACTAAAACACCAGAACATTGGAAGCTCCATGAACAAAATACTCCCTATCAATACAGGCAGGGGAGAAAAGAAAAGTATCTGTCCTGGTTTCAGATGGAAATGATGCTGAAGCTGATCACAGGTGCTAGGAGGTGATGAGTGTTAAGAGATATTCCTCCCCATGGATAATAGACTGCCCCCATGGGATACAGAAGTGTGGCTGAGGTTCCCAATATGATAACAATGTTAGAAATACTGTGGAAACAAAGGAAAATTGTTTTCTTTGCTTGGGATAGATACAGGGTGGCTTCTGGGCTGTAAAGCCTGCCAAGACTTGTGGCATTCTGCTGGTGGACTAAAAAAAAAGACCACACTATGGTGACTGAAGTATATGAAGGATTAGCTTAGATGAGGACAGATTTTTCAAGTGTTTCACGTGAAGCTAACTGAGGGCACTTCCACAAAGCTGCCTTGCCTTCCTCTTCTGTACAACAGTTTTATACCACTTTGACTTCCCAGCTGCTGTTTGGGCCTAGTGCTGATGCAGAAAACTAGACTATCCTGCTGACAAAGAAGGGACTGGAAATATTGGCATACTAAGCAGCTCCCAACTCTTCTCTCCTTGGTGTTTTCTCACTGCCTTTGCATCTGCAAGAGCAACAAAAGCAACAATAAACAGGAATTGTGCGAAGAGCAAAATGACACCCCTCTGAAAAATGGGCGGAGTGATGACAAAGTGCTATGGCACCATGAATTTGGGCAAGAAGGGGGAAAGCCCAGGAGGCAGGACAAATAGAAGTTCACACTGATGGGACATCGCCTGCCCCATAGCTCCAGAGAAAAGGAAAACCATCTTCACAGCATCTAGTTAGAGATGGAATGAAATGGAGGAAAATGATGGTAGGAACAAGACAACAAGGATGGATTTTCTGGATACTCTGTGGGCAATCTGAGTGATAATGTAGCAAAGGAGGAACTATCTAGCGTGCCAAACACATCAATATGTGCAGAAAGATGGAGGAGCAGAATCATATGCCAAGGCAACCATTTGGTGAGGGTTTCTTAGGTGAGTTTCAGAACTGGATTGACTCCCACAAAGTTGTCATGAAGATTAAATAGGATTTGTACCAATTCTGCTGAATTCCTCAGTTCTTCAGAAAAAGAAGTATTATATGCATGTGATAAAGAAACAACACTATGGGGACAAGCTTGAATGAATACTGTTGTGCTTCTTCGATTAAATTTCTGGGCTCTATGCTTTTGTTTTGGAGAATACTTCCATTAAAACCATTAACTGATTTACATATTTTCATTTCTATTCTTACCTTCTGCTATTTTATACACTGCTTTAAGAAAAAGGTAGAGGAATTCAAGGCTGTCTTCTCAAATTTTGTCAGGCTTTTGCCACTTGATAATGAAATTATTGATTATTTTTGTTGCCACACAGATCAAATATTGCTTCCTCCCTCAACTTCTGTTAATTCCTGTGATGGTAACTTTCCTATGTTTGATTGGCTAAACTTACCTTCTGAAACAAATAAAGAAAAAATGCCACTGAAGGAAGAGATGGGATATTAACGTTACTATCATTACTATAGTCTTAAGATGACAGTTCTCTAATAGTGTTTTTAGTAGAACTGTTCTACTTTTTCTGCTAAATATTTCAAATGGTGCTTTCTTTATATAGTGTTAGTGCGGAAGCTGGATAAAATCCCCACTGGCATAACAAAAGGAATGCCATTAAATATTGTGCTATAGTTAAATGTAACTCCGTTGGAAAGGTAAAGAAAATCAAACCATGTGACTATAGGGATGGGAAAACACTAGGAAATTCCAAGGTTATGGGCTAAACAGGGAAATTAAAAAAGCATTCTGGAAGAATGCAATGGCAAACACTAGCATTTCCAGGAAATGGAGTTAAGATCAACTTGAGGGAGACTTTACTCTTTTATGTAAATATGCAAGATAGAATTTGCACGTATTGTCACACATTCTTCTAAGGTAGCCAGCCATATGCCTTCATTTACAGAGCCTATTCTATATCAGAAGAGCAATATTCATAGATGAAGAAATGGTGCCTATCAGTGTTGAGCATCTCATTAATAAATTAGGCAGACCCAGAGATCATCTATGAGCTGTATTTTTACAATGAGATGTAGGTCTAGTTTGTAAAACCATCTACAGTATACATATAAATCAACGTAGATACATTCACTGTAACTTACACCATCATGTGTCCTATTTTCTGGGAATATGATGGCAGGCATCCTATTTTCACCATATGGTAACCCAGAAAAAACTGGCATGACTGAGGGCTGCTGCTGGAGGAATGGCAGTTTTGGGGTGTCAGGCAGACTCCAAAGGATGAAAGTATAAGAAGAAAGGGTTAATCATCACTGGAAGTGAACCTCTTGTTAATTTTAAAGAAAAAGAACAATTTTTCAAAGGGTCCCCCTTTGTTTATAACTATTCAGATAAGGGCCAATTGGTTGTTGAAGTTCTTCCTTTGCAGATATCTCTTGCATGGGGAAAACTAGCACATGAGTGAGAAGGCCAAGGCCAAAGATTTCTATCCATCCTGGTTGTCCATGGGTCAAACATGCAATTGCCCCATTTTCTGTTGAAAAAGGTAGAAAGCTGTAAATGAACCTCCCCCCCCCCCATATGATTTCTGTGATAGTGTTTATCTGAAATGGAAGAAAAAAAGACATGATGATAATTTCCAGTGACTTGGACTCTTTGTTTCTAGGAAATCAGTGGTTCTATGGAAGTTCATAAAAGTTTAATTATTTTTATTTTCCTGAAATTCATCTTATTTTCCCTGCAAAGTGCACACCTCAGAGCTGGTCCTCATGAGATGATGGGAGGACTCCCTAGATCACAACTACATATGGAACTAAGAATATGTCCACAAGTCATCTGCAAGGCATAGATGTTTCCCACACATAAAAAATTGGCTTATCAGGGGTACAGTTCAGCCTAACATTTTCCCTGATGAACTGTTTTATTACGTACAGAGGATATTTGCAACTTGTGAGCAGTTACAAAAAGGCGGCTTATAAAGTGGTGGGAAGGGGAACCTCCAGCACAGGTTCCTACTGAACATGTGTAAACTCAGAAGATTGTATAATCAGATCTTTTCACAATAGCCTTTGCCACTGTATTCCATATTTCTATCCTTTTAATTACATGCCTTTAAAATATGCAGAGTTTTCCATGTTGCTATGAACACAAAGCCAGAATAGGCTTCTGCACAGAGATGGATGGAAAGACACTTATCTTGCCAATTCTAAAAATAACCAAGTCCAGTAGATGGGAGTCTAAAATGGAGATACAGGGTTTGACACAGTCCTCTTCAGAAGTTCTGTCATGTCAAAGACTTCATTAATTTATCTGCATTTTTGCCCAACGCTATCCAAAAAGGTGGGTGCTTGCAATATTTTAACACTTCTTCATTTTGTTCTTTCAGATGCTAACTTTTGCAGTCTTGATAGTTGATTTAAAAATAAGAAAAACAGCTCCTCTCCAGTTTCATCTTTTTCCTTTTCTTTTTTTCCATTCTGGAGAGGACCTCCACATTCCTCCATTCAGATAGAAGGAAAGACTTCCAACATTCCCTAAGCCCATCTCCTCCCAGCTCATGGTAAATTGAGGAAAAAAATGTTGCTTCCTTACTAACTCATCTCCTGAAATGCAGAAAAAGGAAGGGAGGAGGGTGGAACAAGCTACCAATCCCAGTCTCAGATTGGAAGCATTGCCACAGTATTGATTCCTTATAACTTGGAAATGCATGAATTCTAAAAAAACAAAAATAGCATTCTTGGGGGAGGGGTGTTGAGAATGATCAGGATCAGTGTCAAGGATTGATGCCAAATGCAAAGAGCAGGTTCTAGGGAGAGGTTTCTTCAACACTACGAAGAAGAAAGAAGAATTAGATTGTGGAGTCCTTGGGGTTCTCTGCGCTTGGTTGTTTTCTTCCAAACGTCTCATTACCCGGCTAGGTAACATCTTCAGAGCACTGAAGATGTTACCTAGCCAGGTAGTGAAACGTTTGCAAGAAAACAACCAAGCACAGAGAACCCCAAGGACTCCACAGTTCAACCCTGAGCGACACATATTCACTTCTATAAGAATTAGATTCCATGCAAGCTCCCATTGCAATTATTCAAGCTATCTGAGGGACTGGCTCTCCCCCATTGTTGCTCCACGTACCATAAGATCCAACAGGGTGGCCATGCTCCTAGCCCCATTTATTAAGCAATGCCATATGATGGGACCTTGGAGGCATCCTCTCCCTGGCCTCTGGAATAGCATCCCCCCAGGGATTCAAGCAGTCCTGACCTGCTATCCTTAAATAGCTTGAAGACCTGGCTTTTTCCCTTGGCTCTGTTTAGGTCAAGATCTGTGTCTACCTGGCTTGGATTATGTTTAACATGTCTGTTCCCCCGGCTAGGGCACTTCTCTCTTTTTTTACTTGATTCAATGGATGAGGGTTTTGTTTTCAATCCACACAGTGCTCAGAGTTGCTGTGAGTTGGGCAGCCTTATAAATCTAAGTGAATAAATAAATTCTTCCTGGGCTGCTATTTGCATTTTTAAAAAAATGCAAATAGAATGAGTCAGTAACTGTTTTGGCTGCACCCGCTTGAGATGCTTCCCTCCCTCTGGAGATGAGATGAGCTTGGCCCTCACAGAAGACAGAGCCACTAGAGGCAAATGGCCGTTGTCCCTCACTGAACTTACTGTAACAGCCTCACCTACCATCTTCTGACCCCGTCACACCACTGCCTTGTCACTGACTTCTAAGAAGCACTCCTTTTTAAAGAGTTGGGTGGTCCTGTCTATAAACTGCTCCCTCTTTTCAAGTGCAGCTTTCTTTTATACTGTACAGCCTCACCCCTGGAGACTCCGTTTCATCTTTCACCGATCGATCATTTTTTTCTCTCGTTACCAACCTTCCCCAACTAGGAGCCCTTGAGAGAAGAGGAGGAGGAGTGCTTGAAGCCGAGAGGTCTCCAGTCTGAAACTCACGAGATACTACAGGAGGGCGGAGCACAACCAACAGGGAGTCCCAGGAGATTATCATCGAATAATTGTCTTAGCATAGGAGCTGAACTGGAGGACTGGTGACTGCTCGGTTTAGAGGTGAGCTTTAGGTAAATTTTAGATTTTGCAGACATGAAGCAACCAAAGGGAGAGCCCTGAATGGGGCCAAGACTGAGCTCTATAGTGGCATAATTGCTAGCATGTCCTGAAAACCTCTCTAGGAGAGGGCAGGGGTGAGGAGGAAGGGAGCCGATTTCTTTACAATCGAGTTAGTGCCGCACCCGACCAGCCGTGGTGGTCTAGGCCAAAGCGGAACATTGGTGAGTTGCACAATAGCCCAGCCCAGACTGACTATTATCAGCTGCTGTTTTCTGGTTAGCTTTCCTTTTATTCAAGTACACAATGGAAGTCTTTATCACCCTTCAGTCATAGTGACTCTTGAGGAATACATCTGGTTTTCTCTTTCAGCAGCTCTGAAAAGGTCAGCCTGTTCATTTCTTATGCGGAAGGCACCACATCGCCCTCCCCACCCGCCCACCAAGTCCTCCTGAAGTGGAGAAAGCGAGAGATTGAGGCCTACAGCTTGTCAGTCTATCTTGTCTGTCATCCGACGGGGCTGCTCTAGAAAGCGACTTCACGGAAATCTCCCGATACGATGCTTTCTTCCAGGGGCAGCAGCCAAACCAGGATGCAGAAGCCTCTTTCCACTAATCACTCTATAATCCTAATTGTCACCAGCCCCCTCCCACCCCATCTTCCTGTCCTTCCCTTTTGCTCTCCTTTCAAATTTGAGCTTCTCCATCAACACATTGATGGTGGTCCTGCCTCGGCGAGCTGTAGTCGATTATTTGTGCAAATGCAGTCATGAAATAATTTTTTTTTTCTCCCCTTCACTCTGCTGGCATTAAACATTCTTCACACGCGCTGTAACATAATAACAAGTGTGCCTGTGGGGAAAGAGCAGCTGGTGTCTGACAAATTATCTTCCTCAAGGCAGGCAAACGGTGGCTTAAATGCAAGCAGTCAAAGGGCATGAATTTGGTTCCACTATTTGCCTTGGGGCACCACGGACCAGGCCACGGTGAACGGTAAGTCTGCAAACTACTATTTTAGAAGCTGGCTTTCCAGACATTTGTATCCAGCTCACACATGTTTGCGCTAGGGGTGTGGGGGGAGAGCTATCGTTCAGAAACCATTCAAAGTGGAGCCCTGGTGGATTAGATGGCACCTGTAGAGGAGTACGGAGATGCTCTTGAAGAAGGAACTCAATGATGGGTAAGTAAACATCTACCTGAGGGCCACCTTTCTCCAATTGTTTCTGCTCACCTGGTACATGTGGGCAGAGTGGGTGCGCTCCAGGTCCCCTCAAACATCATCTTGTGGGACCAAGGGAGCGTGCCTTCTCTGTCACGGCCCTTGCCCTCTGGAACAGCACCCACCCAGAGATACAAATGGGGCCCATTCTCCTGGGGTTCCAAAAAGTCCTGACTTTGGTTCTTGTGTTGGGGCAGGGAGGGCTGTGCTGCTGGGTTTTAATAGTTCTTTTTAGCCCAGGCTGTCTTGCTTCATTTGGTTTAAGTTTTTAATTGTTTTAATCTAGTGTTATATTTTGTAGGCTGCCCAGAATCCATTGGAATGGGTGGCAATATTAAATTTAAATCATCATCATCATTTATTTTATTTTAATTTATTTTATGTATTTATTACATTTCTCCCCCGCCCATCTCCCCCCTACGGGGGAATCATCATTATCATCATCATCTTAGTTAGACTGGAAGAGGTGAACAAAAACCTGAGATTGCCCTGCCTTGATTCTCTTTAATAAAAGAGGGGAGAAAAGGAAAGTCTGTCAGGGTTTCAAGGTTCTGTTATTATATCCTACAATGATGAGGTAGAGCTCTAGTTATTCAGATAGACTCCATTTCCTGATCTGGCCTACCTTGCAGGGTTGACAGCACCCTGCACCTAATAAGCTTGTAAGGCCTGGGGTTGATGTTTATTATTTGTTTAAGGCCCCTGTTTTGTTTTGTTTTGTTGATTTTGTACTTTATTAGAACATTTTAGTCTGGCCTCTTTGTCTGATTTAATGTTTCTGGCTGTTTTTATATTTTTTCTAGTTTTGTACACTGCTTAGAGTCTACTGGCCAGTCAATAAATTTAAAATAATAATAAGCTGTATAATGTATGAATCTCAGGAATAATGTATGAATCTCAAATCTATAGCTTTCTTTCTTTTTCCTACTTCATCAGAGTCCATTCAGGGAATATGGAACAATTGTTTCTTTCCTGCATTTGGCATCGTGTGGGGTTATTTCTCCCACATTTCTGTTTCTTGGTTTTACATCCAGTTTTTCTCTCTACAGATTTTATTTTTGTCCAGTTTTTAGCACATCTATGCCATTGTTCAAAACCTTGAGTTTGCCCAAGAGGGTTTGCAACAGTTTTTAAATCACAATGAAAAAAAAAAATCTAAAATAAGAATAAAAGTGCAATCAATATAAAAAGGCAGATGTACAGGTAGTGTGAAACATGAAAAAACATGGAATACCAGAAAAATAAAAACACAGTTATAAAATAATGAACAGATTACAATCTTCCTATGAAATGGTCCTAAACCAGCTACAGAAACAACTAGGAATCTAAAACAAAAAAGAATAATAAACTGCAGCAGTTTGGATCATTAAAACAATACAATTATATTTAAATGAATAGACTTATCAAGAAATAATAATCAACCCAATGGACTGCATTTACACTAACTTGAAGGAAGCCTGCCTTGAAGTTCCTTGGAAATAAGGCAAGATATAAATGTATATGTACAAAACGTTGAACACTTAGGTGAAAACAGTAAGAACCTTGTACTGGGTACCAGTCCATCATGGTTCAGAAGGCTAAAGATGAAGCAGGTTAAAGGTGGTAGAAGTGGAACATTTAAGTCAGGCTGATATGGTCAGGTAAGATGTTTAAGGTCCACTCAACTGAAAATTTGGGGGACCTGAAGCCCAACACCTCTGTAATGCCCCAGACTGTGGAAGGTGATTTAAGATTTTAGAGATAAACCTAGTTACCTGACCTGAGCCTCAAAGAAAATGGGTAGCCAGTGTGGCTGGTATAAGATCAACATAATCCAATCTGATTGACTGTCTCTTGTCACTGTTCTGACAGCTGCCACTTTATCCTTTTATCAGCCTTGTGAGGTACGTTAAGATGAGAAATGGTGACTAGCCTGAGGACAGACAATGAGTTTTGTGGCTGAATGCAAATATGAACTCATCCTTCCCTTTCTTATCTTTTCTAGGACAAAAAGTAATCACAACTTTTCCAACTTTAACATACAGAAGAAGGGTCTTAGCTTCAGCAAACAAATGTTCCTAGAGTCAGTCTCTGACATTTCTGAGGGAGTCTGGAGAACTGCTCACATTCTTTGTGACAATATTAAGCCAGATGAACAAAAGGCCTGATTTGTTGGTATCTCCAAGAGTGTGCTCTAGAAATAATCATTTTGCTCCCCATCCTGCCCTTGTCAGAATTAAAATCCATCCAGCTTTTAAGGTAATTTCTTGAGCTCTGTTCTCTGATTTTCCTTTGAAACAGACCTGGGCCTTTTTGGTGGTGATTTCAAATCTCTGGAACACCCTCCTTGGGGAAAGCCATTAAGCATATCCATCATGCATTTCTAAGCCCGCTTTGAAACCATTTTTATTCTAATAATTTTTGCAATTCATTTCTGGGTATGAACGTAAGAAAGCCTATCTCCTTCAACATCCTGTTCCCCACAATTACCAGCCAGATGGCTATGAAAAGCCCCCAACCAGAACACTGAGGCTCTTTGTCTTCTAACAGATGCATTGCAAATGGAATTTTTTTTTAAAATGCAGCTTTCCATACCACTGCATCCCCACATCTGTAGACTTATATCTCTTGAACATCTCCCTGTTCTCAACCTATGAAGCATGAGATATGTCAGGTTATAAAAGGAAAAGAACCTATTGCTGACAGTGTCTGAAGGAAGCGCTTAATTGAATGAACTCCAGTGGAACATTAGCTAGGCGGTCAAATTAATATATTCTAGAAGAACAAACTAATATTCCACAGGACTCAGTCAAAAGACATGTTTAGTACAAAAGCTGTTGGTTTATTACCTTCTGCTGCCAAGAACTCTGTGATCTAGGGCGCTGATTCTTGAATTCTTGAACCATATCCAGGGTTCTTCCCTCCTCCCCTTTCTCATATTACGCAGATGTTCTTTTTTGTTATCTTTCTCAGCTTTCGTTGAGCTGATGAAAAATATTACACAGCCCAAGCCTGCTGTTGTTGAAATTGCTCTCTAGGACAGCTTCTTTCTGCAATATACTCAGCATTATTTAGACTCTCGCATATTCTGTCTGTGTGGATGATGAAGTGCTATGAACCAAATTAATGGAACAGTAATGGAGGAGAGGAGGAAGAAGGATGTATCTAAGGTAGCTTTAATCATGAGGCAGAGAACCGAAATAAAGGTTTCAGTGAATGGCGGGGTAGGAAGCAAAAATAAAGAGAGAGAAAGGTGGGTCAAAGCAACCCAAAATATGAAGAACAGCATCTAACCTACTCTTTCAGCTACAATTCTTTTTATGGTCATACATTTGGCACTTAACAAATAGCTTAAATTATAACTGTCCATACCTAAATACAAGACCTTTTAATACTCTGAGAAGCACAGGAACAAAATGTTCATTTGAGCCTCTCTCCTCTTCTCCGTACTTACTTTTTTGCTACACAGTGCATTTTTTTCAAACTGTTTCTTGTCCATTAGAGATCAAAAGCCCAATGAGTGTGTAGAGAAACCAGAAGTATTGAAATACAGATCCATCCAAACCTGAAGTATCGAAATACAGATCTATCCAATCATTTCACTTCAGGCAGTGAATTATACTATAAATGGGGTCTCCTCCAGGTAGAGGGGCCCAGGAAAATTGTCCCAATCACTTCCCCTTTAAAATGGACCTGCCTAAACACTGGTAGTACGTCAACTCTACTGCACCACCTGAAGGACTGGGTTGGGAACAGATCTCCTGTAGAATATCTATTTATGGAGTCACTAAGAGTCAATACTGACATGATGGCATATAATCAACCATAAGCACCACCAAGTATCCTAAACCCAATCCAGTAGTCAAATACTCAAAAGCCAAGAAGACTTTCCCCTTCCTTCTGGACATGGTGAAGATTCAGAGAAGATGCTGTTCAGGACAGCTTATCCCCCAGAATCTCGAGCCTGTGCTGAATAGGAAGGACATATCAGTTGCCTTGCTAGATGAAGGTCCTCCTAATCTAAATCTCTACACCATTCAAATTTCAGAACCTAGCAGGAAAGTTACAGGGGGCTGATATTGAATAGGAGAGCGTAGGGGGATTTCTTACCAAAACATGGTGGGGGGTAGTTCAACCACAAACTGAAAAACAAAAGGTTTGCAAATCTAAATAGGGTTTTTCACCAAACCTAAATTGCTTCGCCAAACCTGAATAGGGTTTTTCACCAAGCCTAAATTGCTTCCATTCTACTTAAGTAATTTAGTATATGTGTTTACAGAAAGCATTGGAAAAAATAATACTTAATATTTCTTCCTTATTTTTCCCCATGATCTTCTGGGTGAGATTTTTCTTAAAGAAGCTTGCAGTTCGATACTAATCAAGTAAGTGTCTTTAGTATGACAGCCTTAGGCTATATTCTGTCCACATTATAACCCCATATTGATTTTATCACAAGTTAACTGTCATGCAAACCTAGAAACTGCAGGCTGGTAAAATTCTGGTTTGCTGAGACTCCTGTGATCACAATCCCTAGCTCTTCTCATAAAAGTACAATTCATAGGGTTTTCAGGAAGTGACAGTGGAATGGAATGGAATGGAATGGAATGGAATGGAATGGAATAGAATAGAATAGAATAGAATAGAATAGAATAGAATAGAATAGAATAGAATAGAATAGAATAGAATAGAATAGAATAGAATAGAATAGAATAGAATAGAACAGAACAGAACTTTGGAAGTTCAGGAAAATAGACATCTGTAAGCTGAAGTAGTCATTCAGATTTGCATAAGGCCGAATCAACTATGTGGATTCTTAGTCCTTTGGAGGACTTAGTCCTTAATGAAGGATTGAATTTCTCAGTGTTACAGTGAATTAATGGAAATGCCAGGATCCTATTGCAAAGGATGCGAGTTTATCAGTTGAGGGTGGGGTTCTGTTGGCAGATCCTGAATGTCAAGACAGGAGTGTCCACAGAGGGGTCAAAAAGAGATGGTGGCCACAACCTTGCAGTCAAAGCCCCACCCTTTTTTACAGCTTCAGTCACATGTTGTGGCTGCCATGCTTGTTTAACCTCCTTGAGGACACCCCTGATCAGAGACGACACTTTTTAAACTTTCAGCCACTCTTAAGGAACACATCACACACAATAGTGTTATGGGGCTGCTTGTTTCTGTATCTAAGGTTCTCAATCATACTTCAGTCATATAAGAAGCAAGTCAGCCTTGGATCTACCATTACTCTGTGTGAACTGGGAGTGCACCAAACGTGTTCCAGCAGCTGGACACATTTCAAGATAAGTTTGGTAACAGAAGCTGTACTAGACAAGATATAAAAATGAGCACATTCATGCAGGGATGGGAAACTTCTAATCATACCAATACTTAAACATTTCTGTGGGCAACAAGAATCCATCCCAGTGAAGAGAATGACAAACCTGGCTTTGATTCATTTCCAACAAAGCTTGAGGCAGATACTGGGTTTTAAATGTCTACAAAACTATACAGCATTCAGAAATCCTGCTCTGCTCCAACAAAACCACGTGAGATACAAAAAAGAACAAGACAAGGTTGCCCATTGTCCTCTCTCCTGTTTATTTTGGTTCTTGAAATACTGAACAGAGATATAAGAAAGGACAAGAGGATTGTGGGAGGAAAGATTAAAAAGGAGACTTATAAGTTAAGAGCTTTTGCAGATGACTTGGTGTTGGTTCTCAAAGATCCTTTAAAAGGAATTGAAACATTGATGGGCAAAGTAACAGAATTTGGTGCATTAGCAGGTTTTCAGATTAATAAACAGAAGAGGAAGATGTTCACAAAAATATGAAAATGCAAGATCAAACAGAATTGATGAATAAAATGGGTTTTAAGATTGAGAAGAAGGTAAAATACTTGGGTATCACTGTAACAAATATGAATTGTATCTTATTTCAAAATAATTATGTTAAGACATGGAATGAAGTTTTAAAAGATATGTTAAGATGGGAGAAAATACAATTGTCATTGTTGGGGAGAATTTCTGTGATAAAGATGAATGTTTTACCTAGAATGTTATTTTTGTTTCAGACAATACCTGTTTTGACAACTGACGCACCATTTAAACAATGGCAGAAGGATATATCTAAATTTGTATGGCAGGGGGGGAAACTATGAGTTAAATATTAAGGTATTACAAGATGCAAAGGAAAGAGGAGGACTGGGTTTACCTGATTTGAAATTATACTTCACTGCTTGTTGTTTAGTTTGGGGAAAAGAATGGGTGTTGCCGAGAAATAGAAAGCTATTGGAGTTAGAAGGACATAATCTGAGATTTGGGTGGTATGGATATTGGTGGTAGACAAAACTAAGGTTAATGTAGATTTTAAAAATCATTATATCAGACATGCTGTTCTGAGAATATGGAATAAATACAAAACTAGGTTGTGCCCAAAAACACCTTTGTGGCTCTCGGCACAAGAAGCATTTCATTGCATGAAACAGAAAAAAATCAACTTATGATGTGTGGTTTTGTTGATTAGAAAAAAATACTAGATAATAGAAAAAAGAGAGCTTTTCTTTTCGTAACCATAGAGTAAGAGAGAACTTTGTCCCCATGCTTGTATTTGCTGCAAAGAAAATTGGAAGCTTCTTTCTATTTCTTTTTATCTTTTCTTTTTGCCCCTTTGTCTTTTTCCTCTCTCTCTCTTTCCTCTCTCTTTCTTCTTTACTTTCTATTCGTTTTTGTTAGTTTTTTTATCTTCTTTTTAAAACAATAAAAAATACAGGCACAGAAGCAACAATATTATTATGATCATTGTTATTATTATTATTAGGTTGACAATCAGTACAGAACATCCAACAAAATCCAGCCCAGACACACCTCCCTTTGAAGTCTGGTTACATCTCTTCCGACACTGGCCTGTTTCTATTTATTTAACATATTAAACCTAGTTCTGATTGCAATATGGATTTGGGGACCGGGGAGGAAACGTGCTAAGATATCCTTATGCAAAAAGATGGTTTCTTCTGGCATATTTTCCTCAGCATGACTGCCACCCCCCTGCTTTTTTGCCTTGATGAATTACAGGAGAGGCATCTCAGAGATCTGGGTCTGAAACGGTGAGCTGAAGCTGCAGCAGAGCAGAGCAGATGCATAACGTGGCCGAACCTCTATTGTTTCTATTTCAGGAACACATTGAGTGATTAGTTTGGGTAACAGTAACATCACATTACCTTCTACAGGCTGGAAATGTCTTTTAAAGCTGGAGTCATGTGATGTGAGGCTGTAGACAGAGCCAAGTGGAATACATCAAAGAGTGCCTTGATGCAGATGTTTCATGCAGAAGAAAATTAGGTCAGAGACCACTTCAATTTCAGTTTCTGCCAGGCTTGTTTGAGAGCTTCCAGTGAATTCCTAATGAATAGCTTCTAGGGCACTTTTCTCTCATTCAGTCAGAAAGCACCACGGCCAGATGAGCCTCCCTGGTGGAATCTCACCCTCCACCCCCATCGCTTAGAAAAGAAAAATCTGTTACTTAGTATTCCGAGATTCCAGGACATTTCTCACGCACAATGTATAACACCTAGGAGAGACCAAAGCAGCACCATCTATTGACATTCAGTATATGAATGCAGTACAAAACACTAATGAAACCCTGACTTACAATAGTTTGCAGGCACTCGCTGCTGTGGAAGCTCCTTTCTGTCTGTCAGCAGCATATCCTTGAGAGGAGCTGGTGAATATGGAGAGGCCATAAACAACCACCGGCCTTGAATTTTTCTGTTGAAATACTTTAGGGCAGTGTTGTCCAAACTTGGCCACGCTGGCTGGGGAATTCTGGGAGTTGAAGTCCACTCATCTTAAAGTGGCCAAGTTTGGACAACACTGCTTTAGGGCTAGGGCTGGGCACAAGGAAGCCTCACGTGTCTGAAATGTACTGTTCCTTGCTTCTGCTACCAAGAACATAGGGACACAATCCTCTCCCCACCAAGCTGCTTCTTATCAACAGCCCATTCACATACCACCCCAGCCCCTCGGT